TTGGTTGCAACTCATGAACTAATAGTATAACCACATTTATTATTGCATATTTTAATTTTTACAGTACTGTGAACACGTGAACTTTTCATTCAAAGACAAAACATCAGAAAAGAAATAAAAACATCGGTTACAAATTATCAATGCTTGTATAAACATCGATGTTTTGAAACATTGGGCTGGTTGGAGTGCGGTCAGCGCTGGTCGGCCGGGCGGTCGAGCAGCTCCATGTCGCTGGCGACGGGCGGCATGAGGCGGCGCAGGGGCCCCAGGGCGGAATCGCGCACGCTGGCCGCCATCAGGGAGAAGGTGGAGGCGCCGCGCTGCGGGGGCGCGGGGCGCGGCGGCGGGGACAGCGGCCCCGCGGCGGCGGGCGGCGCCAGCGAGGAGGCCGTGGCCGTGGCCATGGCCGGGGCCGGGGAAGGGCCCCGCGGCCAGTTGAAGAGGTGGTGGCGCAGCGTGCGGCGGTAGGTGCGGCGGAAGGACGGCGGCGCGTGGGGGCCCATGTCGAGCGAGCGGCGCCGCGACGCAGACGCCGCCGCCGCCGTCAGCAGCTCCGCCTGCACCGGGGAGCCGTCGCCGTGCGACCCCGCGCGCAGCAGCGCCACCTGCGCACAAGGTCGCCACATGCAGCCAATCGCTTTGGAGGGGGGGCCGGCGTAGAATTTTGTTACATAATAAAAATTTATTAATACATTATGCAAAATAGTTTGTAGTGTATAAGTGTACTATATAACATTATTTTTTAAATAATTACATAATTATAATATAAATAAATATTTAAATCAGTTTTGACAAATGAAAGAAGGCAACACACAAAAATGTTAGGCCCTTTGGTCGGACCGTGGCCCCTATGCTCCCCTCCCCCTGAACCCGCCACTCGGCAGATTGGGGAATCTTGTCTTAAAAATTGGGAATCTTTTGTTGTGCGGAAAGAATGGGGAACATAAATGGACGAGGAAATAATTGGGGATTTTTTTGAGGAATTTATTTTTCATCCAAAGTCGAGATAGAAGTATTATTCTCCCATTTATTATGAAGAAACAATACACGTATTCTTTCTCATTTTTATGTATGAAAAACAGGAAAATAATAGACAGGCATAGAGAAAGAAAAACATAAAAACAAACGTATTGTAGAGCTTCAAGCAGCTCAAAGGACGATGACTAGTTGATTTGAATTCTTTTAATTAACTCTCATCGTTGGTCCACATTTGGAGAATATTTTTCGAATTTTCATATTGGGGAATTGTGTTTCACTGGAGAGACTATTTGTGGCAAATTCCGTAGTAGTGGTGGAGAAGGAGCTCGAACCCATCTGGCAACATCTGACTTCGACAAACAACTGCGAGCACGCGGCGAAGCAAGTGGTCGGAAGGATCGCGCACCACCTCGAACGAAGACGCTACGAGACAAGACGAAGAAAATGCTTTACTGAGCGCGCATCCGCAGCGTTGCAACCTACGCATGAATCGTCTGGGCCGCCGGAGCAAAATCATCCATAAGAAAACTAGAACGAGCAGAAAATAGATTTATACGCACCGCCTACCGACCAGAACTTGGTACTACCTACTGTACGATACGAGACAAACAGAAACTGACCCACATAAAAATATATATTTACGACCAAGCCAAAAAAACTAGAACACGCATTAACAGGAATATTCCTAGACCCCTCTTCAGCAAATATCTTCAATATTATTCCAAAAAATCTCCTAGAAGCATTAAACGCATGCTAACTGTCCTACGATTTCTACGACCACTGTAAACATACAACAAATCACTTCCCCGCGAAATAACCATGTCTTTAATAACAGACTGTCTCCAACTCTTACTCTCCAAGTACATTTATATATAATACAAAACTTCCCTGCAATATCTTTCTTTAAGAACTGCTATGTGCGCTACGATACCGCAGAGCCTGCCGCCTGCGGCGACGCAACCCACCCTACACCTTCCCATCAGGAAAGACGGGCCGCGGCGCCACTCGCACCCGTGAGCGGAGCGTGGCCTCACGACAGCTGCACAACACAACACAACTAAAGACCACAGCGGATGAGCGCCAAAAGGCGTAGGCCGCTGCAACAGCACAAACAACAAGAAAGACCTGAGCACAAAAGGCACCGCCGCACCTCCAGCACAACCGCTTAGGCGCAAGCAAAGGGATCGCAGATGGAGATGGCAAACACAAACATCGACGTTTTTTAAAAATAGATGTTTTCCATCAGAAACGTCGATGTTTTAACATCAATGTTGTGTTTTCGATGTGGGTTTTTTTTCAGATCGTTATATTTTTCCAGACACATCGATGTTTTAAAAGAATTTATCTTTTTCAATGAATTTTTGAATTATCGAATCAGATAATCCAGCTTTTGTTAATTGTCATGTCGATTTTTGACTTCATTTTTTTCCACATTTTTAATAAATGATGCTACTTTCAAAGTAAGCCACCCTCCTCCGTGGACTGCATTTTGAACCTTATCTGAACAGAATATTGATTATAAAATTAAGGTGGCAGAGTGCTTTAACCTAAGAAATACTTTAAACTAATATTTTCACGTATTACGTATATTAGATTCAGGACGTTTTACTTCGATGATTTATGAATGAAAATGATATTGAATAAATGGAATAATAATAGTATAACATGATATCCTTTATTTTGTATTTCCTTTTTTTACATTCGATAAACATTATTAGCTTATCACTTATGCGTGACCAAATAATAAAATTTACTGGACATTTATTTAAGTTCTCTAATTAAAAATAGAAACAGGATAAGAAAATCCCATCAGTCCTTAAGGCAGAGTGTTCTAACTTGGCCAACTGCCTGCTGAGCTTAGAGATGATGAATTTTATCAGAACGTCAATATATATTTCAATATATCATCAAAAGGTTTTTGAAAACATCGACACTTACAAAACATCTTACACTTACGAGACTAATTATACTGGTCAACAGCATTTTTGTAACAAAAAAGTGAATGCTGCTCTTAACTAAGACTTGGGCACTGAATTCGAATACGACATCAGATTTTGCCTATCGGGCACAGATTTCTTGTTATACGCTACTCTACATTAATGGAAATGCTTGAAAACGCTGCATACTGATTATTTGGCTGTAGCTTCATTTAACAATTGTGCTCATGTAATTGTTCAGGAACAATGGAAATGAGTAAAAGGAATTCCTACAAATGGCACTGAATACAGATGCACCTCTAGAAAATGAAAAAGGTTTGTAAACATTGCTGATAGGTCATGCTCGAACAGATAGAATCGCGTTGTGTTTCTAGCCAATTGCGTCTCATCATTGAGAGTTCTGACAGCTTATAAAGCGGCTTGGATGTGTCTGCTTGTTGTTCTAAGCTCGTGAAGATTTGTGCTTTGTATTAATTCAGAAGAAGAAATGCCCAGATATGTTATGTTGTAGCTGTAGATACGAGTAATTAACTCTGAAATCGCAAAATCGCAAACCTTAATCTTTTGAGAAGGAAGTATTATGAACTTTATTTCGGGTGCAAGGTAGGTGACCAGGACAATAAATGAGCCTCCCATATGCGCTGTGTGTCATGTGTTACATTCCTGACATGGGTAAAAAGTTCACCTTACATGACCTTTGCTGTTCCCATGATTTTGAGTTAACCAACGGACCACATTACAGAGTGTTATTTCTGTCTAATACGAATATAGAATCACCTGAAAATCTAAGAAAACGGTGCAATATCATAATTTACCACCTGTTATCATGCCTGTATGTCACATTGAAGAATTGCCGGTACCACTACTCCTGAGATCGTGGCAGAGATTGAAGATGATTGCTACAGTGGCGAACATTCAGAAGGCAGAGGAGGAGATATCCATGCAGACCCAACATTTCAAGCCTCCTGTGAAACATTCCATGGCCCTTCTTCACTTTTCCTAACACATATTTTGATGTATTTCTTACTGTATACATGTGAAAGTGAAAGGCGAATTAATTTTCAGAAGCAGTGTGGTTTATTCTTGTAACATAAAAAGTGTTTTTTAAGGCCGGTGTTACCTTAGCAGTTGACTCGCCCCCTAGGCGCTCCACTCACCTCCCTGCGCAGGCGGCGCACCTGGCGCGCGAGCTCGCGGTGCGCATGCGCGCTGACGGAGGCGGCGGCGGCGGCGTGGGCGAGGGCTGGGGCGGGCGAGCGGACCAGCGTGAGCTCGGACGGGCGGCGGCTGGAGCGCGGGCTGCGCCGCTCAGGGCGAGGCGGAGCGCGTGGGCGGGCGCCGGGGCGCGGCGGAGGGCGACATCCTCCGCCCGCTCTGTCCTCCACCTCCAGGCGCACGCGCCAACGCCCGCGCCCGCCCGCGGGCCCGCCCCGCCGCTGCTCGCGCCGCCGCGCCGCCACCCGCCCCCGCACGGCCGCGCACTCGTCGCTGCTCGAGGAGTCCGACGACTCCGAGGGCTTGCGGAAAGCAAATCGCGCTACTCAGTCCAGCGGCTCGGGGCTACATTCAGCGGTTCTGCTATTAAATAAGGGCTTCACTATGCTTAACCAGAAGTAAATTTTACAACTAAAGAATGCCTTCATATCCACAACCCCAACGGTTAAGTATCGCCTAGAATTACGTAACCCTAATTTGGAGTATTTTGAATACCCCCTCTCCGCCCTGTAAACACACATGTCAACACACGATTGAACCAGAAATATAACATAATGCTTTGCGATAAGGTTCTCCCCCCAACTAAATACAAATAAAGTCGTGCACACATTGACCTCGGATAAGCTGATGGGCCCCGACACTACTGTGGTCCATTTAAATGGATTCTATAATATACTACAAATGAGTTTGAATACTTTGTTCGTAATTTAATGAATATACCTGATAAAAAAAATATTTCATATAGTAACAATATACCTAAAAACGTTTTTAGTTAATTACTCGTATATTTTTCATTCAATCTGTTAAATATTTACTTATTTCTATAATACTGAGTGAAAGAAAATTTGAGAAATGACGTAAACATTTTTAAAGCAAGATGACACTGAGGAAGCGTGCCACTGCGTTGACGCGGGCGTACCTGTCGTGCCTGCGCGCGGGGGGCAGTAGGCGGCGGCGCCGAGCGGGCGCTGCGCCGAGTGCGTGCTGCGCCGGCGGGCGAGTGCGCGGTGGCGACGCCGCGTTGAAGGCCGCCTGCGCCTGCGCGCGCCGCCGCCTGCGCCGCTCGCGCTCGCGGTTGCGCAGCGCCAGCGCCGCCAGCGCCTCCAGCAGCGCGCCCGGGATGCGCGGCGCGCCCGCCGACGGGAAGAGCGGCTGCAGCGTCAGGCACGTGGCCACCGCGCGGTTCAGCAGGCAGCGCTGGAAGCCGCGCAGCGCGCGCGCGCGCCGCAGCCGCCCCGTCAGCGCCTCCAGGTGCGCCACGAAGTCCGCCTGCTTCAGCGTCATGCGCACCAGGCCCTCCTCCTGCAGCGCCTGCGGCACGCGCACGCAACACACAGTGCTCATCCCCCTGCAGCGCCCGCACAATACATCGCCCTGCTCTCTTTTGGCCTCGGTGCTCCACAGGATGTGCATCTCATACGAACAGCCACTCCTCCTGCAACGCCTGTCGGACCCACTCAAAACAAAACATCGTCCTGTTCTCATTTGGCCTCAGTACTCCATAAAGGACATGAATTCGAACAGCTCCTCCTTCTGCAACATCTGTCGGGCCCACTCAAAACAAAACATCGTCCTGTTCTCATTTGGCCTCAGTGCTCCATAGAGGACATGAATTCGAACAACTCCTCCTTCTGCAACATCTGTCGGGCCCACTCAAAACAAAATATCGTCATGATCTCTTTTAGCCTCAGTGCAAAATAGAGGACACGCAAGTCTTTTGAACATGCAGAACAAATGCAAAACAAAAATAGAAGACCAAGAAAGAAACTATGAACAATGAGCTTATTTACTTTTACTAAAACAGGTATGTAAAAAGGCATTTATTCTGCCTAAAGTAGAGGTGACACAAAGAAAAATAAGAAAGGAAATTTAAAAGGAATTATTGTAAAAAATGTGTAATTGTGATTCACATTTTTATTCTAACTAAAATTTATATTAGCGCTTGCGTGTAAGGAAACGATATTTTCTTTGTGAACTTGATTCCACATGACCACCCGGTATGATGACTATGAATTTGTTTCAATCGTGCTGTCTCTTCGAAAAAAATATTGTGGTCCTCCTTTTGAATCTTAAAATGGCATCATTGCAAACGGAATTATATTTTCCATTCTTCGTGCTTGTATAATTGCCAGCACTGAGAATAGTAAATCAAATATTACAGCACTGTCCTAAAAAAGAATTGGGGGTCGAAGTCCAAAAAAAGTTGGGATTCCTCGTGAACGAACAAAGCCTGCATCAATGATAAAAATGGAAAATATTGACTTGTATCAAATTTCTTTTTCATTTAAATTTTTAACTCTATCTGGAGCCTCCGCTTCAACAGATAAAACACGATCGTGTCTTAGTGTTGTCCAGACGTGCAAGTATGTTTCCAGCTTGATCGAGATTGATGTCAAGAGAAGAATAGTAAAATAATCACGAAAAAGGCAGAAAAGACAATAACACGAAAAATAGCCATCAGAAGCTAAGATATGCAAAAAAGTCAAAATGAAAATTTAGTAAAACAACTCCAGAAGTACAATTTAGCGACTCCTATAGTTAAAATCCATGAAATCGTATCAATAATAAAAAGGCAATTTGCCACACGTCCGGGCTCTAATCGTAGCAAACACCAGGCAGGTCTCACCTGAATGTCGCTTACGGCGAGGCCCATCATGAGGTTCATGAGCACGATGGGCGCCAGGATGATGAAGGTGAGGAAGATGATGCGGCTGGTGACGAAGAGGCGCATGCCCGTGGGCTGCTTTGGATCGGTGTCGGTGTGGCTGTCGTTCTTGTACAGGTCCGTGTACTGGAATTCTCCGGTCATCATGACGGCGGTGCGGACGATGGCCTTCCAGGGCGAGGAGAACTCCGGCGCGCGGCTGTACTGCACCTCGTAGCTGATCGCGTAGCCCACCACGAGGCAGCTGAACGACAGAATGACCTGGAATCACACTCGCATACAAAGTGAAGCCTGCTTTACACGGTAGTCTACAATTTCCATTCAATTGTTGGGCCAAAAAATCAAAGGATATGCTTAGATTACAAAAGTGGAATGAAGAAATTAAGTGGTTTTTACACGTACTATAAGAATATTCGATAATAATGGCTAACGTAACTATCTCTAGATTGACGTTCGCACGGAGAATCATGTTCCCTTGTAATGGATATAGCTTTGTTGAAAATGCATTGTTGTGATATGCGCGATATGTGATTTGCAGTTTTTGATCTGTAAGGGTCAGCAATGTTTTGGCATCAGAAATACAGTCGTATGTAGCCTAAAAATTAAATAATAATCTAAGTTAAACAAAACTAGGCACTAGGCAGCACTGTGCTTTAAAAATAGTTTCTGGCGTTTGAGTTTTTACTTTCCGACTATCCGTCAAGTGCGTTTATCTAATGTATTTTTAAATGAATTGTTAGTAATTAATAATACGAAAATAGATAAACACTCACCTTCAACACATTCTTCAAAACTGTCTGAAACATAAGAGCATAATAACCAATGGTGGGAAAACGTCCTAGCAGAAACATCACTTCCGCCCATCCCAGAAGGACAGCCACGGACAGCAGGTGAAGCTCTGCCTCGAGAGGCAATGGTCTGTTTTCTAAAGGCACCTCCTTCATAGTGTCTGTTGAATTCAGTTCAACACTCATATTTTTCGTCGACAAGCAGGATCTTTTGCAGCAGTCGCCGCGTAGGGAATAGTTCATCACCTCCTTGGTTTCGAAGTCGACACAGTAGATGTTATTGAGCACGTCGTCGTACCAGGAGCAGAGGGGCAGCACGGCGGCCGAGAGCGCGAGCAGCACGCAGATGAGGTGCAGCCAGCTCTCAGCCTCCTTGACGTAGTGGCGCGGCAGCAGGATGATCTGGCCGGCCAGGTACAGCAGCACCATGCACGCTGTCCCCACGAGCGGATACCACGCCGGGGCGCACTTGAGCTTCAGCGGAGGGCCCTGCGACACACCTGCGTTTCGGAATCGGACCAACACACACGTTCCATGTCCAGGAGCTTCACAGTTTAAAGAGCAAGCAAAACGTTGCTATGTTTCGGACATCGAACATTTTTTCTTAACAGTAACAGTTGAAGCACACTCTACAGATGTCACAGACATCGAACTTTTATGCATGGAATGTTGAATTTATTATGAAAATGACTCCAATTTTTTCCTTCAAACTTTCCCAACTGATAGTGCTAATTGAACTGTTTAAGATGACATACAATTAATTTTGCTGCATTCTTTTGTTGTTTTTTCAAAAATTACACAATTTAAAATATCTCTCACGCCTTTAATATGCACATTTTCAGCGATCTGTAAACACTATTGCGTTTATGACTGCAAGTGCTTGAAATGATTTTATGTGAAGGTTTTAGAAAACTCAATAGTTTTCCGTGAAAAGTATTTCAAATTTTGAATTCACAGAAATTCTTAAACGCCATTTTCTTAAAAAAGGCTCCAAATTTGTCTAAGAAAATTACCATTTAGGATGAGATTTTACTGTTTTTGAATATTCTTAAAATGATATTTCTGTTCTACTATTAGAATTCCGAAATATTAAGAATTTTTTTTTAAAAAAAAGTAGTTCGGTTGGTGATAGATGGCAGCTGGCAAGAGTATGTGGCAAGTCGAATAGCTTGCTGAGACCAAAGAAAATAGAAAACAAATACGAGAATGTCTGTGTCATTCTACAGCACATCTAGTTTTATGTATGAAAATCCTAAACAGTATAATATTTATTAAGTATTTTGTCTCTACCTTCTTATTGTTCACAAGCGTAACAACTAATTCTATTTTATATAACATAGACGAATCTGGACACGAGTGGTGATTGCAGTTCCTGTCACAAAGAATGCGTTCTATTTTTAGTACAGTCACACATACAACATATTCTCTTTCCTTGAAGGGAAGAACCCCCCTCCTCCCTAAAAAGATATGTATATTCTGGAAGAATTAGCAGTTATCTAACTCTAGCAGCGCATCGCACCCTTGCTACTAATGTGACATGTGTGAAAAAATCACTTTTGAGTTCTTACTATGTCACAATTGCAGAAACGATTCTTCACCTCTCAGCAAAGTGTGGTTCTATAACTTCACAATACGGCCGATGGTGGACAGTTGAGTCGTACTGGCTATAAGGATGATCAAGTCTCTAAAAGAGACAAAACAAAAACAAAAGTCAGTTCTTTGGGGTTAATGCCAGGAATAACTAAAGCACCATTTATGGCTAGTTTTACATCCGTTCTCATTAGTGCAGATAAATGTATTTGTCTTAGTAATGTTTCATTATTGCCATAAACGTTTTTCGTGATTTCTGGAAAACCTGTTATTTAGAATTCTGTCACATTTGTAGCAAGTGCGCGACATGGTGTGGGGACGCGATTATAAAGGCGTCGACTATGACACGACGCAACTAGTGAGGAAAGCTTCCCCCATCCCTTCCCCTCCCTAGTCATTTCTGAAACTCTGTGTACCTTTATTGTGTGACTAGCCAGTAAAATACCTGTGTCATTCTGCACGAGCTATTTCCGGTATACGCCATTTTAACACGCCAGTAGACTACGCTCGTCCAGTAGACTACGCCTTTGTAGTTACATCAGTGATATTTTTGGCGGTTTATTGGCTAATATTGTAAGTAATGACTACAAACTCTTCGTCTTGCAGCATTTACGTTTTGTTCTGAACATGTAGCAATCATAATGGGACGATGGCGTTCATAACAAAGGTCGCATGACGAGGTACTTTGAAGTCGCTGCACAAAGGCCACGTGTGCACAGCACCAAGCAAGTGTCTGCCGTGAAAACTTTAAAATGTATTCTGTAACTCCGCATCATACATGTTTAACCCATTAAATTAAGTGTTTCATTGAAAAAAATTGTGTTTCTCTTGATTTTTTCCCAAATAGTCTATAAGACTGCCTCTCTCGGTGGTTCGTTGGTTAGCGTGCTCGCTTTCCACGGCGCACCCCCGAGTGCGATCCCAGGCGGGCAAAATAATAAGTTTACTTAAAATGTCTCAGTATCTATTGGTGTGTGACGATAAGAAAGCCCAACCTAAAGTCGTGAAGACCAGAATACGCGGTGAAAGGATGCCTTCGTGCTAACCACACGAACCCCTTATCCCATGGCCGAGAGGCTGGGTCGCCGCTGTCCTGCTAAGGCCCCTAGCGGGCTGTCGAGCCGTAGCACAACAACCTAGGCCTTTGTAACAAGGTGCAAGGGCAGGTACTGACGTGCGAGACGAGTTCGTAGGCGTAGTAGGAGAGCGAGAGCACGAAGGCCACGTGCACGGCCGTGAAGAGCAGGAAGAGCGCGAGCAGGCGGCGCCACTTGAGGTGCACGAACAGCTGCAGCAGCGGGTGCTGGAAGAGCAGCCCCAGCGGGCGCGGCGGCATGGCCTCCATAAAGGCGCGCGTCACCTGCATCTGCGCCAGGGGCCCGTGCGGGCACAGCGGGCCCAGGTCCACGTAGATCTGCAACGCACCCGACACCCGACACCGTCACACGATGGAACAGGCTGCGACGCTCGACGGTGGGGCATTTCGTTATACACTGAAGAGCCACAAAACTGCTACAGCCATGCATATTGAAATAAAGAAATCTGGAACCAATCAGAACACGGCGCTCCGCTCGGCAACGTCTTTATAAGACAACCAGACTCTAGCACAGTTGTTTGATAGGTTACTGCTCCTACAATGACAGGTTATCACGATTTAAGTGAGTTTGAACGATTGTGTTATAGTCGGCGCAAGAGAAATGGGGCTTAGCATCTCCGAGGTCGCGATGACATTTGAATTTTCCTCTACGACCATTTCAGGAGTGTACCGTGAACATCGGGTTCCGGTAAAACATTAAACCCACTACACCACCATGCACCACACTTGTCGGGAGACCAGTTGGGGGCTTAGAGCTTGTCCCCGTTGGGGGAGTGCCACGCTGGTGGGAGATAGCTGGTTAGGAAGAACGACCTGTACATCGACGCCGAATCTCGTCATTAAGCGGGGGAAGATAGCCGCCGCCTCTCGCGCTAAAAGTGTGCATAACACTTGCGGAACTAATGACCTTACCAGTTGGCGCGCCTGGAATCACTAATCAATGAGTGAATCAACCGCAAGATTCGGCGCCGACCTTCCCGTTGGCTTTCAGGGTTTTCCCAACCATGAATTTCTCACCAGCGGGGCACCGCCCTTGCCGAGAGTGGTGTAGTAGTGCATGTTAGTGTGAGTAAGGTGTGAGGAACAAGGTAGAGGAAGAAAAGATCGCACGCGGCTCGTTTATTAGGGTACTGCTCCGCCATTCCCCTGGTGTTGATCGGAGAATCAACGTAAAACTACCAATCAGAGCAGCCGGCCGCTAGAAGTTTCCTCCAGACAGCGACTGAATCCGACCTAGCTTTGCAGCTAGAGAGAAGAATCATGTGAACGTCGGGAGTGGAACCCTGTGATCTGCCGGCGAGAGCCCTCACCTTGAAGTCGCGGTCGTTGACGGAGGATCCGTTGGCGCGCACGCAGCTGTCGAGCAGCGAGCTGAGGAAGACGGCGGGGCGCGGGATGCCCTCGAGCAGCGCCTCCAGCGCCGTGGCGCCCGACGCCGTGCGCGCCGCCAGGTCGCCGCCGTGCGCCAGCAGCAGCGTCACCACGGCGCGCGACCCCGCGAACGCCGCCTTGTGCAGAGCCGTGCGCCCGCCCTGCCACACAAGCGCTTACAGCCCGCCTCGTTGTACAGTAGAACCCCACAAAGACGAAATTTCGGATAATCGGAACAAAACTTGGGAAGCAGAAAACTTAAACAAAATAAATAAATTGCGAATTTGTAGTGTAATGAAAGGATTTTATAATTACAGTAAAACAACTAATTATTGTATCACAAGTCGAAATGAAACGTGTTTTGCGCTGGTAACTACGGTGTGTATCACATGTTTATGTAGCAGTAACTTAGAGGAACTTGCAAAATCGAGAAACTTCTTGTGCCATAAGAAACGGATGATGCGATCGCTACACTACGTTGCCATTTTCTCACATCGCACGCTTACGTAGCTTTGTCTGGGAATCGTAAAGATATATTTGTTCATGCAGGGTACATTTTTTCGGATAATCCGAACAGACTTCAACCCCAATCACTTCGGATTACCGGGGTTCTACTGTACTTCCATTTATTTATATTAACACGGGCACACAAAATAAAAAAAGTTATCAGACGTAACGTGCCACTGCAAATAAATCGAGGTATAGCCGAATTGCCTCCAGTCACGAAAGTTACGCAATATGAGACACCACGGATTCCCGGATGGGTGAATGTCCGGGGACCCCGGTTACTAACTTCGCCGAGCCCCTGGCCGCAACGATAAAAGACAATAGGGAGTTTGTGCACCCTTGAACGTTAAAGCAGTATCGATCTTCTGCGCATTCACAGCTCGAGTTTCGCTTCACTTTCTTGTATCTCCGCATGCGCAGACGATCGATAGTGCTGTCCGCCACGTAACATAACGGATGCTGACCTGGTCGGGCATGTTGACGATGGCGTCGCCGGCGCTGTCGATCAGTAAGCGCACTACGGCGAGCGCGCCGGCGCCGGCCGCCTCGTGCAGCGGCGTGGCCCCGCCCCCGCCCGCGGCGCGCCGCCCGCCTCCGCGCCGGCCTTGAGCAGCGCCGCCGCCCGCCGTGGAGCGCAGCTGCGCCGGCGTGGTGCAGCGCCGACGCGCCCGTGTCCGGGTGGCGGCGCGCGCGTCCGCGCCCGCGCCGTCAGCAGCGACCACGCGCTCGTAGCGCTGCAGCTGGCCCGAGCATGGGCCGGCGCCAGCCCGAGTCGGCGGTGGACAACCCTGCGCCCGCCAGCAGCAGCGGCGACAGCCCGCGCTCGTCCTCGGCGTCCACGCTCGCGCCCGGCGCTCAGAGGCAGCACACCACCTGCGCACCGCCCTTGCCCGTTACCACAAAGGCCATTTCCCCACGTTTATATGTCCTTACCCAGTTAGCCCTTGATGGAGAAAGATCCCCCGTGTATGACCAATACCACGAACAACATGATTCTTACTACTGATGGTCGTGAAAACCAGCAAAAATAAGTAACCTCATATCCCCTGGGATGCACAAAGCGCAACAGTTCGTTAAGCGACTGGAGTACCTCCGGGAAGTTGCCCTTGGCGGCGAGGTGCAGCGGCGTGCGTTCCCGCACTCGGGGCGGAGGCCGTCGCCGCCACCACGTCGAGGCTGTCGGCGCTGCCGCGCCAGTCGCAGACCGAGGGCGCGGTGCGCGCGGGCGCCTTGGCGCGGCGGTCCACGCGAAGCGCCGCGTCGGGTCGCGCGGCCGCCAGCAGCGGCGCACCGCCGCCGCGTGGTGCAGCGGCGTGCGCCCCAGCTTGTCCGGCGCCGCCGCGCGCGCGCCGCGCCTGAGCACCGCCCCCCGCGCCCGCAATCAGTGGACTACTTTTAGCACCACTTGTGTCAGCTTTACACTTTTATAAAAGGGGGCCAGGGTAAAACTTTTGCGGACGACCCGCGCTCATTTCGTGCCGCTACTGCCCTCAATATGCACTTTTTCTACGTTAAGTGTTTGCAGTTTTCCAAAATTCAAACACCGGTACGTCCCAGGCTTCGAGCGGCAGAGTAACAAAATGAGTTCGGGCCTGCCCTTAAAAGTTTTTTCCGCGCCTCCGTAAAACCGTAGAGCTAACGCAAGTTGTCTTAGTACCTTAAATAATAAAAATATCCTTTAACAAATCCAAATTCATCAGTCTAGGATTAATAAGTAATAGTGGAAAAATTTGCCTTTATTACCACGGTAAGTGTAAAGATCGAAAATTAGTGGTTTAATTGTGTCCGAGAATCTCCTTTGTGTCGTTATAGCAAATACGTTTTAACAATGTAGAATAAATATGGGAGGGAAGGCAGTGAACATTGCCTGAGATTTGCTTCTTATGTGCGCCTGACTGGATGTAGCAGGATTGCATCACCGTTGCTATGATACTCTTTGCCCTTGTTAGAGCATACAAAAATCAACTTCAATAGAAATTCTGGAATTTAAGAAAATAAATTTTGTATAAATTTTTGGCGCCAATTGTTGGCATAAGAAACCCAGTACACATGTACTCAGCACCTTATCGAGTCCCGGACGTGAAACCGGACGTGAAGTGCAAAACGGAAAGGAAGCCGCAGCGGTCACCGACCCAATAACCCACCCATCGCACCCACTCGCGGGGACAATCCGGCCAACCCAGCGGTCGGTGGTTGGTGATTGCCTAAAGAGATACCCCAGGGAAAGTATGGTCTTTTCATCAAACAAAGGTATCAGAACAGTATGCGATAAACCTTTTGTGTTTTATTAATACTTGAATTAAACACTAATGGGCTCTAAAAATTTCTTAAATATTTCGCTAATGGGTAAGGGAATAGTAGTTTACGTAACAAGAGCGAGTGTCACCTGGCGCCCGTGTTGCCGTGTTCCAGTCTTTAACATGCCGCGAGCGAAACGCAATGCGTCAAGTAAAGGAATATAAATTAAATATCGAATAACTACAAGAAATACCTTTCTTGTACAAAAGTAAATAGACCTTGGTAGTTGACGCGCCCGGAATCACTAACAACCAATCCATCAGGATGAGGAAAGAAAGATCGCGCCAACCACTGCGTGTGACCCGTTTGTTAGGGTACTGCTGGTGAACTGTTTGCGGCCAGCCTTCTCACCCGAGGAGCTCGTGCAGCACGGGGAGCGCGGCGTCGCCGTGGTCGGCCGCCAGCTGCAGCGCCGTGATGCGCATGGGGCCGCAGGGCCGCGAGGGGTCGTCGGTCGCCTCGAGCGCGCGCCGCACGCCCTCCAGGTCGTTGCGCTCCGCCGCCATGGCCAGCGCCACGCTCGCGCGCCGCGCCTCCGCCTGCCGCACCCGCGCAGCGCCGCTTTTTCACGCCTTGCCTCTCAACGCGACTTCCACACAACATCCGTGTGGCCGAAATCAAAACATCGACCAAAAACTGTCGATGCTTGAAAGTTGGTTTGCTAACTTCTAACATTAAAGTCGTGCGCAACAAAATATTATTTGAAAACTGCCGAGCCTATTAATTTATAATTAAAATTTAACTGAAAACAAAGTTATACAATGTCTCCTCGTGTGCGAAATACAAGAAACATGAAGAAAATACCCGGCCAACAAGATCATCTCTAGCAAGGGATGGTAGTCTGCTCGATGAATTTGAAACAAACCGCGTTCGTTTCGATCGAATACAAACAGATATTGATACCATCAGTTATTGTTTATTTCAACATTTGCAAATGTGTGCCTCCTTTAGGAGACACCGCCTTAAAGTAGCACTGACCGTGCGGGCGAGGTTTGTGTGTTCTTATGTAGCTGAGGCCATACAGGGATAGCATTGATGATGGGTTTGAGAATCGATCAACGAGGCAACCGGTAGGAGCACCCAAAGGCTAAGGAAAGGAAAAACCTGAAACAAAACCATGGGTAGAGAGGACTCAAAAAAGCGTGGAGACAACATCTCTAGGGGAGAAAACACCCAAAAAAATTCCGGCCTGCCAGGACTTGTTTGGGAGCCTCCCCTTGATCCACTTGCTTGAGAGCCTCCGCTTAATCGACTTTCCCAAGAATCACCATTTTATCAACTTTCTTGGAGCTTCCACTTGTTCGACTTGCTTGGGTGCCTCCACTTGATCGACTTGCTTGTGATCGTTCACTAGATCGACTTGCTTGGGAGAGTCCACTTGATCGACATGCTTGGGAGCTTCGACTTGCTTGGGAACCTTCACGTAATCGATTTGTTGCAAGCTTCAATTTCTTCGACTCGCCTAGTAGCCTTGACTCGATCGGCTTCCTTGGAGACATCAACCTGATCTACTTGGGAGCCTCAACTTCATGGACATGCTTGGGAGCCTTACATGCCTGATCGACTTACCTGGGAACTTCTACTTGATCGGCTTGGGAGCCTCGTCTTGAATGACTTGCCTGGGAGCCTTCCCTAGATCGACTTGCGTGGGAGTCTCCACCTCTTCGACTTGCTGGAGAAAGTCTGTGCCGTTCTGTAGCATCTCTAGTTTATTGTGTTCCTTTATAACTACTGAACTGATATTTTTCATTGTTTACTTTAATTATTCTTTGGAATATATTTGAATTGTCATTACCTGAATCACTTTGACAGATGTTGTTTGAATATTGGTGGTCAGTAAAACAAATTCAACTCTGATTTTGAGGATGTGACCCAGATACCCCAAAAGATCGCAACTGAGTGGGGTAACTGGACCATACCCTACCATGACTCAGTTATCCTGACATTACCATAATTTTCCATTACCTATGCATAATATGAATGACCTTAAAGTGAAGTCCATACTAGTGTTTTACATATTTATCTTATTTTCAGACATTGGTGAGAAATGAGGTAACAGAGAACAGCTTATTGGAGATGGGGCTCATGGGAGGTTCTTGCTCAAGCAGAAGTAGTTACAAATGGAAATCACAGCCTTTAGTATTCCCAAAAGCACATTCTACCCCAATATTAGTGTGACTTCCACTTACTTTTAAGAGTCACCTGTCAAATTGTCTTCGAATCATGCAAAAGTGGGGGGTGGGACTCTAAACAGAGGAGTATGGGATGATTCAATGTTTTTTATGTAAGTAAATAATCCAAAATCCAAGTTTAGGAATGGTTGAAGTGGACCGGAATAGTTCATTAATTTTTGAAACAGGCACAGTCTTTCCATAAAAAATCTCAGAGCAAGATTATTTGTAATAACAGGTAGACAGAGAATGTTGTTATGTATGTACAGTTTCTACATACTCTGTAGAAATACTGTAGCATTATATGGAAGTCAAGGAGTGTGGTCCCACTTACTCCAGGGGAATGGAGTAACTGGATCCACACGATACTGAAATATAAATTACAAAGAAAGATTATAACATGTATATTGAACTAGACACTACTTTTATGATCAGCTGATGTTGGCAAATAACACATTCAACTTTTTGTGCTGTATAAAAATGGAACAAAAGCATTTTTAAGAGTAAATTAAGTTAAATTTGTGGTAAAAGTATATCCCAGTTGCCCAGACTTACCTTATGTAAATACACTGGCCATGCCAGGGTATTTCAGCTACTATACACTCTAAATGTACAATGAATTTAATTAATTTATTGTTAGAGTATAAAATAATTCTTTACATTGAGAAGAACAACAACAACAAAAAAAGTTATGTAGTTAGAATTAACAAAATCTATTCCATCTCAAGAGTCAAACACTCTGTTATCCATTGACAGAAGGTATTATCCACAAGAGCAAAATTTTATCTTCCATTTTTCACACAAATATTTGTTTGCTCCCAATTTTTAAGTTTGCATTGATGCATCAAGACCTTTTTTATTAGTCCTTCCTCTCCTCATAACAAGACAGTGCTGCTAATTTGCTTTCAGTATTATGATGCATGTTACAAGCCCCTTGTAACAAACTAATTCATTGAGCCTGAAACTCATAGCAATTTTTTCTTTTTTCTTATTGATGTTTTTCTGTTCTTTCTATAAAAGTAGCTCAAAATAAATTGTACAATTCAGAAGCTGTATGTACTATTTTCAATTTTCTTAATGATGATGACAACAAAAATTAAACTAGAATGGAGGATTATGATGAAGACACTGACAAGGAAGATGAATCTGTCAAAGAGAGAATAAGTGACTAAGATCTGAGAAGTGAAACTAAAGAGAAATCCCATCAGAATGATAAATTATTATAAATTATTTTAGAAAGAGATAAAAGTTTAAGTACAAGTACAGAGAGATAAAACTATGAATTCTGTATCAAAATTATACATTGTGACTAATCTTGTTAGTCATTATGAGGCAGTTTTTGAACCAAATTTTATGTTAAGTAGTAATAAGTTCACATTATAAGATAAAAACATTAGAACTAACTTCACTAAATAACTGAATAAAGAATAAAACATAATTTACTACAATAAAATATATCTATAATTAAAGTGTTCATGTTAAGGCTAAGTCAAATATATAACTCTGACATACTAAGACCAATTCACAACAAAACAAAGTTGTGATTAACAGAAGGTTAAATGAGATATTAACTAAAGAGTGCACATATGCTTAAACCAAATTCATCTTTCAGTGGTTTAAAGAGTTTTTTGTCAAGAAAATGTAAACAATTTAACATACTTCAATATACTTAGGCTTCAAAATGGTTTGGCTCAAGATAGTTTTTTATTGCGTAAATTCTGGGAAAGAAGATAATAATTTCGATACGACAAAGTAAAAAATGTCTGTGTAAAAGAGCTTCGTTTGTTACATCAGCATCATAATACTTAAATGAAAACAAATAATTTATCTACATTCTCATGAAAACGTAACATTGGATAATCTAGAGCCTAGCCCTTCAAATGGATTAGCAGTGAAACAAAATTCACAACAAGTAAGTCTTCTTTCTATCTGAAAATACGATATATATTTACTCAGAGAGAGAAATGAAATGTGTTTTCTAATTTTCCCAAGAAAACTTACAGGAATATGATGCAATGATAATAGGCATAGAAAATATTCTTCACACACTTATAGACATATACTCAAATTCACTGAAATGGGCCTAACAATATTTCATTAAAATAAGCTTTTAATAAAATTAATTTTTATTGGCCCAGACACCAAATTTACATTGCTAACAACATCTAAATAAATACATGCTAACCCAGCTGCCATCATAAATAATGCTATTCCTCAATATTCCACTTCTCCTTTTTCGTTCTAAAATTAAGTTTCGTGCATTTTATAAAAAATAGAACACAAATAATACTTTCTTTTATAGTTTCATACATCTGAAGATCTTATCAAAACAAATACCATGAAGTCTCATTTTTGTGGGTCATAAATTTATACAGATTTTCACAAAACAATGTTAAAGAAATACAATAAATTACTCAATTGCATCTGAACATATATTGAAATTTACTAAGATGTGTCCATCAGTGTTTAGATCTCATGTTTTTATTAATAATTAATGAGAATGTAATAAATAACCAAGGATTCTCATATATCTTTTGTGTTTTAAACTATTATTTAAAAACATGTTCTTGCATACCTTTGTGATTAATATTACCATAAATAAAAAAATAAGTTAACTCACCATTGATGATCGTGATATTTAGTGACTGTTCAACTTCAAGGATCTTTAGTTAGCTGTCTTCTATGAGCAGGAAAAAAACCTCTGATCATTTCTTCCAAATCTGATACAATTCATAAATAACTTCCATTTTCTCAAACTATATCAACTTCCAGTATCCAAAGAAACACTTCCTTCATTGTGCTCTTCCAATTACAAATTCACCATTCAAACCATTAATGCAAACTACATTATAAGTTTTACAGAAATGAGAAGTTTATCAAGGTGCAGGAAGTAGCATTGGACAGGAAAAGGATGTGGTTTGTAGTATCACAATAATTAGACTACTGCTTGTATGTATGGTAAACCATGAGGTCCTAGGAACTCGAATACAGAAATGTTCACATCTGAATGGAAGAATACATTATAAAATAATTTGTATGTCAGAAATTTGAGGTTGAAGTGGGGGGGAAAATGATTTTTATCAAAAAATTTCAAAAAATAGGTACCCACAAATTCACCTATGGAACAACAACCACTTCATAGACCTTTTACTTATGGTGAGCAAAACAGAAAGAAGGCAATTTTATCATAGTTTGATAAGATACATTTCTAAAATAAAGAAGAAGTAAAACAAACATTTTATAATCATTTTTTTTAAATAATGTGTTTTTTGTACTTTAAAAATGTTGAATTACTTTTATGAAAGTAGGTCAAGTGTGTGAAAATACAAAGGAGCCTACATCTAATGATTAAAAATTCAATATTTGCTCATTCAATTTAAAGTGAAACAAATACTTCCTCCAGCAACATGCCATGAAATCATGTAGTTAGTTTCAAAAATGTTATGATAAAATATGTATTGTTTGTATAAGTTTTCACTCAAAAGGAAAAATAGCTAGCTCTCACATTCTTGAAGCACAGGGGACTAATTTTCATAACAGAATAAAATCTATTAAATCTCAAGTGCCATTCTTTATTCAGTCTTTTTAGCTATATAAACAAAATGAAAACTGCATATGTTTACATGCCATGTCCATGTATTTTAAGTATGCTCTCACAGATCACATCTTTTATGGTCTTAATCAAATTGAGATTGTTATGATGGGGATATAAACTGACATATTTTGATATTCATAAATAGTATGACAGTACAAAACATTGCTATTGTGTTTAAATTATTTATTTCAGTCAGGATGATGTTATTTACATTGCCAAGAATAATGAAATAAACAATAATCTACATTGTAGTAATGGTTAAAGAAATTTATTTTATTGCCACAATTGATCAATTTTTCTCTTTATTTTCTATTGCAGCTACTTCGTGATTACTATATCTACTTCTGGACAACAGACCATATTTTAAACTAACAACATATAACTGCAGTATCACTATTCCACATTTGCTAGTATTGAAAACTGTTAAATGCAAAACTTACAATTCAAAAAAAAAGAAGTGGCAGAATAGCACAGTAAAGAGGTCACAACTAGGAATCGGATACCTCAAAATCAACATTTTTATTGCTATTACTACTACTACTACTACCACTAATAATAACAATATTTACTGAGTCATACATACAGTTTCAATCATACGTGATAGTCAAATACGATGTATGCGGACGGAGTACAATTACACATCTTAAGCACAGAAAGAGAAGTTACATTTATTGTCCAGAAGCAAGACATAAGGCCATCAAAGAATTTGCTCAAAGGACCCAGGAAACTAGACAAAAAACCTGATCGACATGCGGCCATTGGTCTAGAAATTATGTTACAACACTTGTCACAGATATATTAAGATATCATACAGTAAATAATTATTTTTAGAAGCAAAATAATATAACATTTCCCGATTTGAACTTTTTCGTTCTTAAAATAAAATTTACTTAGTTATTTCATTTTACTACTACTTATAATAATAATAATAATAATAATAATAATAATAATAATAATAATAATAATAATAATAACAACAACAGCACATGACATCAATTATAGTAACAACTACACATTAATTAACAATATGGAAGTATGTTAAGTTTTTGAACTGAGGTTTACAGGATTGTGTTCTCTTTGTATTTCTTATTGCCAGGATTATTCTCTTTTCTATTTTAAAGATTTTCTTAGCCTCTTATGCTTGAACCCAGATTATTATTCTATTTTTCAGGATAGAGTGAACATTCGTGAAGTACACTGTTCAAACTGTTTCAATGGTGCTGTTCCTTGTTATTATTCTAAGGGCATGTAATTAAGTTTGCTCAATTTCGTATTAATAACTTCTAAGATGTGAGTTTCACTTGAGATTGGATTGAATGATTGCAATAAGTTTTCTGTACTTCTAACATCAAATTTGGTCAGTATTGTGGTGTTGAGTTAGAGTTGTGGAAGGTCATAGTGATATATTTTTTTCTCTTTAGGATGAGTTTGTTTTGGTGGATTCATTGAATTTGTCAATGGCCAAGTTGGCTTTGTGACGTTATTGTTTTTTTAATATTATATTAGTGGCATCAGCGAGAAGCACAGTTTTGTTGTTTTCCATTATTGATGGCAGGTCATTTACAAAGATAAGAAATAGAAATGAGCCTAGTGTGGATGCTTGCAGGACCCCATATGTCACATCACTTGGTTCAGAATTATGTTTCTTTTTATTTTGTGGTATATTTGGTAAGATAACACCACTATTAGTTTTGTCTGAAAGATATAATTTTATTCACTAGTAAGCAATTCTTCGAATTCCATAAGATTCTAATTTTGACAACAGAATTCTGTGATCTATTGTGTCACAAGCTTTTGACAGGTCACGGAAGAGACCAACAGGTATTTCTTTTTGCTCTAATGCCATGAGGATTTTCTTTAAAAAGGTAAATAAAGCAGTTTTAGTTGATCGATTTTCCCTGAATCCATGTTGTGAGTCAGTGATAAGAAGTCATAGAAGAGTTTTTCTAATATTCATGAAAATTCCGATAATTGATATTGGCCTTTTCATTTCATCTTGTTTGTTACCACTTTTTGGAGAGGTTAAATTACTGCAGATTAAAATTTGTTTGGGAAGGAAACATGGGATAGTGATTGGCAGTATAAATATGTAAGATAGGGAGTAACCCTTTTCATAATGAGGTCTGGGGTGCTGTTCATCCCTGCAGATTGTTTGTTTTCTATTTTATTTGTAATTTGAAGTATTTCCTTTTCTGTTGTTTCTGTGATGTACATACTAGAGAGTAAATTTGTAAAGAGAGGCAGTAGTTGAGGTGTAGTGTTTGGATTACTTGTTTGCTAGATATGTTGCCAGGAAATGTTTGTTGAATATACTGTATTTCTTCTATGAACTAGTTCATTATTTTGTGTTTGGACTATGCAATAAAATAAATAATTATGAACAAACATTCAGGAAATTAAGAGAAGCAAACTTCATATACAATGTAGATGTTTGAACAATTTCAGCATTTTCTTGATTCTAGAAGAAAAATAAAATAAAATATGACCAATGAAAATTTATAAAAACGGTATAATACTAATAATGGTTTTAAGAGAACTTATTAATATTTTTCAGGACCCTCGAAATGTAATGGTTACTTAACAATACACTATTTCATAAATTCAGTGTTCAAAGAAAATATTTTAATGAAACAAAAGAATTTCACTTTCCTACGAAGTTCACAATTTTTCATAATTAAAGAAAAAACAGTTATTAAATCATGGACTTTATTTTCAAAATTATAGATCTTTTTATACATTGAAATAATAATAAATTCTGTGACGCATCCACACAAGAAATTACTTTGTATTGTATAAACGAATGACTCTTAATTATAACACAGAAAACTCAACATGTAAATATTATAACCAATTAAGATCACCTTCATTAATTTTTTTTCATAAAACAACATAACATATACATAAAACAAAACAGATTATTTTCTCTCTTAACTGATTCCCAAAATGCAATAGGGATTTACAAAAGAATACTCCTCTACATCAATAACCATTACAAAGATGTAATATCATACAATTTTCAAATGAACACCATATAGGAATTTATTTAATGCTCCAGCAGATCTGTAAACACAATCTGAGTGGACCTGAACTATATAAACACCACAATAGTTGAAGATTATAGACATAATTGAAAATTTGTTTGCAATATTTACAAATTAAGAATAGTTTTATTCTGAAGTACATTTGTTTTAAAGAATGAAGCCAACAAAGCAAAGGAAACTGGATTATTTCTCTTATCAAGTAAATACACAATTCATTCTAGATTTGTAAATTTGAAGTACTTCAATACATTTCCAAGTTTTAAAATTGTAATTCATTAGTTTTATCGTTAAGAAAACAAAGAAAAGGGCAAAGATTTGAAAATATCTCTCACAAAAGTTTGAGGATTTATAAAGGAATGAAAACATCTGATTTTTAATGTATACATAAAAAAAGGATTTTAAGGAAAAGAAGTAAACAAATATAGATAATATAAATAAAAAGAAAGGGGGCCCTGTTGACCACATTATTTAAAATATTCCTAATGTATCACTTTATGGAACCATTTCTTGCACTTATAATTCAAAACGTATTTTCAAACAAGATTATTGTTTTAAATATTTGAATCAATAACAAATGTTGTTAAATGTTTTACCAAACCCATAAACCGCAAGATAAATTAGCTGCTGAAACATTATGGATGTACACAAAACAAGACAATTAAAAATTTCAAATCAGAAATAATTTTATAGCAGATAACCTTTTACAATAGCCTCGAGAAGATTTCTTATGACTGAAACCTCAGAAACTGTTTCACCAGAATATAAGGTGGCTATTTTACATAATTTTTATTGTAAATAGGGTGAAAAATACATTGTGAAAATTGTGTTGACATTCTTATTTGTTTACATATTTACAAAAAGTAAGAAACAAAAGAGTTTTTGAAGACATTTTGAAATGTGTTCATGTTCCATAATCAATAACACACACAATCCAATTTGTTACACACTGCACACACACACAGACGAGAGGAATATATTAAGAATGGAACAATTTTGACAAGCATATTTTTTAATAACCTTGTAGTAAAATCTGGAATGAGATACTATTTATTTACTCAGATTTGAGTTAACAGTTATGATGCATGTCAAAAAAAAGAGAAAATTAAAACTTTCATGTTTTTGAAATAGTTCAAAATGTTGCACTGTAATAATAAATATGAAATTTACAAGAGCATAGATTCACTTTTGCAAGCTTCGTAAGGGAGACATATTGATTTACCAAATAACTACATTTAACTTCAGGCTTTTCCAATAAGTCCAGATGATAATGACCAACTGTTTACAAGATCAAGTGTTACGGTGACAGTAATAAAGAAAGAGAGAAAGTTTTGAGACAATTCTAAAATCCATATTGTAGTCCACCTGTAGAAAATTCCCTATCACATTCCTTATGTTCTGAAATACATTTCCCACAAAATCACATGCAATTCTCTTCCTAACTAATCTATATTTTGAGTGGAAGATGTAGAATTCTGCATTTTTATGTCACTTTCTAGAGTCATTTGTTCAACAATTAATCTCGACATTTCATCTGCATTTACAGTTGAAGTGGGCAATTCTTCAAACATCTCATCACAGTCAACAGGTGAAATATCGGGGGCCCACGAGGGACCAGCTACGGGTTCTATACTACACTTTGTATTTTTGGTAGGATTTTCTGTTACAGACTTTGCACTTGCATTGCTCTTTTCCACTGCCGGCTTCTGTGGTACACTTTGTACGTCTCTTTGAGAAAAGTTCATTGGAGTTTCCAACTTCACACCGCTTATCTCCATTCCCAGTTCAGAACCTAGAAGACTCTCAGATCCCATGGCATGTCCACTAAAAGCCATGTTATCAGATACATCCATTTCTTCTGCATCCTTCATTGTTAAGTCATGAGCAGCACTACTATTAGCAGAAGAAAGGCCCTTCTTCTTTATAAAAACACGACGCATGACAAGAGATTTTCTTGTTTTGTACTCATATCGTAGAGTTGTATCAGCAGTTTTGGCAAACACAGCATCATCAGCAACTTTCGCATCATCTTCTTCAAAAAAGAGAGAGGTACCAGGAATATCTCGATACTGTCCTGTGAATACCTGGTCACCAATTTGCATAACAGGTTTTTCAGAATCAATTCCAATTACCTTAAAAAATAGATTCTGCTTTTTAAAAGTTTCACTATCTAATATTGAATCAAACTCAACATGAACCAAATATTCTTCCTCTTCCTCTTCTTCAGTACCCATTTTGTTTCAAATTGGATCAAATCCACTTTTAACTACAAAGCACATTCACTTCTAAAAGTGTCAGTCTAAGTTGCAACAATGCAGCAGCAAATGATTTAAAGAGAGATTTCCGTAAACATCATCTATGGAAGACTGCACATATTTTTTCCAAATTTACAATCACAGAAAATACTTGAAAACAGTAGAACTTAGCTTACTGGAATATTTTTGATGAAGACTTCAGGAATTGCAAGTAATGTTCTGAAACAATAAATAACAGTAAATTAGTTCTATGTAGTATGCAATTAATAAAAAAAAGCTTACTTTTTAAATAAGGAAGTAAGAATGAAATTTTACATAGAATGAAACAATCTGTAATATTATTTTATTCTTCAAATACAAGTACACAAATATTTTGCAGAGATGGCTGAAATAATATTAGTGTCAGTTAGAAAATAATTATAAGAACTTCATTCACCCATCACCAATATGATAAAGTCTGTGCCATGATGTAACATAGTTCATTTTTATCACAAAAGGTATACATTCACTTATGCTGCCACAATCATAAAGCATTGTTGGCAAAATAATTAGTTTTCAGATTTTGTTTGCTTGCCAGAGTAGTCATTATTAAACTAAATTACAGTTTAATAAGATTATAGTGGCTTAATTTAATACCTCTAAATCAAATGCATTGAAGCTTTGACGACCAATTGACAATAACTAAATTCACAAATAAATAAAATAATCATCATCCAATCCTCCTTCCTAACACCTTCCCAATGACTTCCTTCCTTCTTCCAAACCTATTTCCAGCCCTTACCTGATTCAGGTAGGGGTGTGTGTTAAGGCCCCTGGCAATAGGGTGAAAATGCAAGGAGAAGGGCACTCTGAATAAAATCAAACCATGATGGCAGGACCTAAATGATCTAACCTCACGGAGCAGGGTGTTGGATCCCCAGTTCTGGCAACCAGGTTTTGGGGGGTCATAAGCCTGTGACTGCAGTGGCCTAGTGTGGCCCACTGGCATTTATGTCAGATGGATGGAAATGGAAATCTCTCTGGAAGGAGATCAAGGGACCCTGGAAGTTATCACTAGAAATGCTAAACAGGAGCAGATATGGACCTGTTATGAGATAACAGGAGAAGCAGGGAATAGCTGCAAATTAATAGCCCTGAAGAAATTTATGGAAAGCCTGGACCTAAGGATAACTTTAGTGTAGTTGTGAACAATATATTACGGAATAATCCCACAACAGTGAAAGAATCATTGGCTGAAGCCACGGAAGGAATTGATATGACTAAAGGGTGGATTTTGATGACCTAAATAATAATAATAATAATAATAATAATAATAATAATAATAATAATAATAATAATAACAACA